TATTTTTCTTATATTTCGTTCGTTTTAACTGTAAATAAAAACGTTTACATATTATACATATTAATTTTATATATACAGGTTATTATTTTAGATCTATTATTTTTAAAAATGCAATTGCTTATCTTAAAAATAAAACATTTTAAGAAAAAATATTTTGTATAAGTTTTATCTTTGAGGGGGACGTAAGACAATGTGATTAATTCATTTAAAGATTATATAAAAATTACTTTCAATTTTTTAAATGAAACATTATTTTTCATTAAATTATAGTTTACCTAGAAAGTTTTCATATACACTAATCTTCTTTTTCCTTTCTCTCTTTCTTTTAATTATTCTCCGTCACTTTTTTTCTTTCTCTGTTATATATATAATTTATAAACTATAAATTAACATATATACATATATATATATATATGTATATATATGTATATATATGTATATGGGGCATTCCATACCACACAAATAGACCACTTTTTTCCATAAACATTTTTTATTTGCTTCATTTTTTAAATATTTTTGCACTTATTAAAAGTAGTTTCCAAAATTAATTTCCATGATTTTTTTTTAGATTTTTTTTTCTATTCATACTTGAATTATGTATTTCAAAACAATTTTATTATTTTTTTTCCTTAATGAGATCCTTTCGATTTTTTTTTTTAAATTGATAACATTTAAGACTTAAATACAAAATTTTTAAGTCATAAGTAAAAAGGGGATTTAAATAACTTTGATTTTTTAACACCATTTTTTGCAATTTTTTTCCTAAAATCACATTCTTTAATTTTTTACATTACTAAAATAAAAAAGAAAGAGTTTACAAAGATAATAATTACTTATTTTAAAGTATTAATAATCGAGAAAAAATTCTAATATTATTTAAAACTATTTTTTTGCTATTTTGCTAAAAAATAATGTTTATTAATTTCTTAGACGACTGGTATCGAAAAAAAAACTTTGCAAATAAAAGACATTAATTAAATAAAACATAAATTTAAAGTGTAAGACAGGCAATAAGAGTCAAATCGCGGATGACAGTACGTTATCCCAACGAAACTAAATTTTTTCGTTAGAATTAAATACTTGTGCACAAAGCACCAAATTTTACTTGGTCACGGCCAAGATTTAAAATTGGAATAATCTCTACAAGAGATTTAATTCAATACATCCTCTGTTCCCCCCTAAGGAAATAAATGCACTATCATCCGCGATTTGGCTCTTATTTTATTAAAAATTATAACATAACATTTATTTTTTAATAATTTAAATAATTTATTAAAATAATTTATTTTTTAATTATTTTCTTTTTCTTTGTTATAATTTTTAATAAAATGTATTATATTTAATTAAAGTCTTTTATTTGCAAAGTTTTTCTTTCGATACGAGTCGTCTAATAAATTAACAAACATTATTTCGAGCAAAATAGCAAAAAAATAGTTATAAATAATATTAAAATTATTTTTCGACTACTAACATTTTAAACTATATAATTATTATCTTTGTAAACTTTTTCTGTTTTATTGGAGTAATATAAAAAATTAAGGAATGTAATTGTCGAAAAAAAAATTTCAAAAAATGGTGTTAAAAAGTTGAAATTATTTGAATCCCCTCTTTGTTTATGGCTCAAAAATTTTGTATTTAAGTCGCAAATGTTATCAATTTTTTAGAAAATAATCGAAAGGGTCTCATTGAGGGAAAAAAATAAATTAGATTAAAATTGATATGATCGTTACGGTGGTATGAAATTGCAAAATACTACTATTCAAGAATGTCTAAATATTTTCAAATCATGGAAACAACTTTCAATAAATGCAAAAACATAAAAAAAATAAAGCAAATAAAAAAGTGATTGATTTATGTGTGATATGCCCTATATAAATATATGTATATATATATATATATATATATATATGTATATATTTATATTTATATATATATACACTTATTAAATTTATAAAAAATAAATTTATTTACCTAATATTGTATATTTCCTTCTTCCTTCCTTCTGTTTTTATATTTCTTTATTTTTTACGAATCCTCTTTTCTCTTCTTTCTCTTTCTTTTTCTTTTCTATGGTCCTTTTTCCTTTCTCTATTTCTCTCGATTAATCTCCGTCACTTTCTTTCTTTCTATTATATACAATATAATTTATAACACATGATCGTTACAATGGTAAGAAATTAAATTAATATTAATATATATATATATATATATATATATATATATATTAATATATATTTTTATGAATATTAATTTAAAAAATTATTATAATTTAAATAGGTTACTATATTATAAATAGGTTACTATATTATATTTATATTATATTATATTATATTTAATTATACTTGCATTGCTACAATTACCTTACCTTTGTTACAATAGAAAATTGTAATAGAATTGTTCAGCGCGCGCTTGTGTTATTTAATTTCTTTCATATTAATTATCAGTATGACAGTTTATCAGTATGACAGTTTGACAGTCATATCGTATAACCAACATACGAGGATACGAGTGAATCAAGTCATAGCGCACGAAATGCTCGACAACCAACAACCAATCGGCATCACGATAAAAAGGCAACAATACATTCGAGATATTGCGAGAATACATAACATGCACTTTTTGGAAAGGGATAATCATGTCTATAGTCGCGTATGAGATATATAGCGTATTCTTTAGCGCATACGATTATTCGAGTATCCTTTCTATCTTTTGTGAAATTGTGCAAAAGATAGCGTGATAAATCTCAGGGGAACTCGCGCAGGATCTACTATAGTTTATGGAAGGTTTCGTATTGCCAAGATTACTAGAATCAATTACTTCGCACGGACCTTATTAAGTCTCGTGCGTTAATAATTATTCGCCACGTATGCGGGCAAGTTTACTTTCGGGTCCCGCGTGTCACCTGATATCTCCGCGTCGGGTCGTCTCAAAGGCGCGGGATCATAACAACGCGCCGCGTCTCGGCCGTACATGCGCCGTACAGTATCGTTCCGAATGTAAAATACGACTTCGCTTTCTTTGTTTTTCGGCGTCACATAAAACTCTCTGCCCGCCACAAACGACAAGTGCGCGGATCTCAATTCGTAACTTATCTAAAAAATATTATTTTTTTGTACACCCTATCACTCAAACTTTTATATTTTTTTTTGTTTTTTGTTTACCTTACTGTTAAAATATATTCCATGACTATTACATTTGAGTGATTCTAAATAGCCACTCTCGAACTCCGTTCTTTCTCCCGTCCGAACTCCCCCCTCTACCTCTTGACGCTCTGAGCGAGTCGAGTATTGCCGTCGCGGACTTTCAGGATGTTTCAAGATTTACAAAATATCTTTTTCTAGTTATGAATTTTTAGAGTAGCGTGAATCTCGCGCCTGGCGCCCAAGCAAACGAAAATTTATTGTGCCTTCGCGAATTTTCCGCTTTCCGCGCCGAAGGTGTGCCGTCGGCCAATTACATCGGCCCTACTTTTCGGATAACTAGTTATCTGACCGAATAAAAAGAATTACGGTTACAATACATACATACACACACACATATATATATATATATATATATATATGCAATACGAAAAGCAGTTCAATAGACAAATAGCTAAATAGATAGATTGATAGGTAGATATGTATATATATATATATATATATATGTATATATATATATATATATATATATATATATATACGAGGGCAGTCCGATAAGTACTTAGCCTCATCGCCCGATGGTGCCAGTATTGCAAGAGAGTTTTTTACTATCGTGTAGTACATTCTCGTAGACGGCTACTGTCAAAATTTCAGCCGAATCGGACTCGTAGTTTTGTTTTGACCGCGTGTGGAAGCGGGCGTGTCCGCGGATTTTAGAAAAATGGAAAAAGAGCAATATCGGTCGTAAAATCCGTTTTTTGCGCTATAAAAAAAATTGTATAGGAACTTACAAGATTATTTTTATCTGTTTTATGTCCACTCAAGATAGCCTGCTTTTATAGAAATTATATATGTTTATTGTGCGCATATAGTAGACAAATATATATAAATATATAAATTTTATATATACATATAAATACTAACAATATTTATATAATCAAAAATAAAATCTATCTCTTTTAATACAATCTTATCTAACTACTGATCTATTCCGATAATGATAGTATTATTATCTGCTCAATTTCAAAAATACTTTCATATTGTTCAAAACGCATCAGAAAATATTAGCAGTATAATAAAATAAAATATTCTGTTCGAATAATATTTTATAAGATTCTAGAATAATCGATATTTACAGCAAATCGTTTTTGTATGTTTTTCGAGGAGAAAACACAGCGACATAAATCAATCTGTCTCGAAAAAACATTCCTCAAAACATCAACAATTAACGGTACCACAACCGTTCCGCCGAATAATTATTTTCAGGGAGCATGCGCGGCTTACCACGGGCGCCTCTTTTCACCAATAATTATCGCGATCGCCCGCGCGCGCATGCTTTCTGCCAGCCGTCTTCCGTTAATTTTGACAGCGGCCAATTACACGTAATGTTCTCAGGTCACCTCGCGCACCGTTCGAAATCCGCAAAATCATTGGCGCTTCACGCGAAGGTGGGCTCCATCCTAAAAATTATAAAAGACGAGCTCACACCCGGCTTAGCAGCCTTATCGCTTTTCCGCCGTGAACCGCATAACGCAAACCGCATGCTTGTAAAACCGCTAAAATTTCGTTGACGACCGCCGCTTATTCCGCACTTTGATTTTGATTACGATTTCAGTGTAAAATAATTAACATTTGTATGAAGTTGTTAACGTGTATTTGTTATTAATTGTGTTAGAGAATTAAACTCTTTTTTTTGACAGAAAAGTGGCTCATTTGTGCCGCGCGACCCTTTCTTACGCAGCGCGTTCGCGAACATATTTCTGGTCCTTCGAGCCGGATCCCTCGCACCGGCAACCGCAAGTTCGCGAGCGTGACTCTTCGTGTTAGTGAAGAAAGTGAGCATCTGTGTGTGCAGCCATCATGGATGTACCCACGCTGGTCGACTGTCAGCGTGAGATTCAAATCCGCATCTCACGTTCCGTGGAGTACTTGAAGAAGCTGGGCAGTTCCAATATCACTACCAGTGCTATCGCCACACGCACCAGAATTTTGGATCAGCTGTGGACGAAGTTCGAAGCGCAGCATGATCTTATCCGAGCATCCTTAAAAGAAAAGTTCAGCGAGAGCGATTATTTTAAGTCAGAACTGCACGCTGATACGGAGAATCTGTACGTTAATCAAAGAAGCATACTTGACGGCTACGCTGAACACTTTCGTGCATCGAGCGTACCTCCTTCTGCCGACGTCGCGCCAAGGTCGTCACTGCCGCGCATCAAAGTACCGCCATTCTCTGGTGCCTACGCAGATTGGCCGTCGTTCAGGGATCTCTTCCTCTCCGTCGTGAGTGGCAATGCGATCTCCAACATCGAACGCTTTCATCACCTCCGCTCATGCTTGACAGGGCCGGCTGAAAAATTAATCAAGTCGTTACCTGTCACCAGTGACAATTATGATCGCGCTTGGGCGATCCTGGACAAACATTACAACAATAAAAAGAAATTGATCCGCTCCAACTTTGCCACATTCATCGCCGTGCCAAAGATGAAGGGATACCGCAGAGGAGTTGAGACGCATTCACAACGCCGTTACTGCCGCCGTCAATGGTCAGGAGAGCATTGGACGTCCAATTAACACCCACGGAATGGACCTCTTCAACTTCTTAGTCACCGAATTGTTTGACGCACGCACGCGGCTGGAATGGGAGTCGTCCACGTCAGATTCATCAGAGCCGGCACAAAACGAGGCACTCGTGGATTTTATCAGCCGACGGATCCTGACGCTCAATGCCGCACGACCGAAGAGCATCAGCAAACCGCCCGGAGAGACTTCACGGATTGCCAAAACTCACTTCACTAAACAGCAAGGAGCTGAGCCGCCGCACTGTACACTGTGTCGTGAAAGGCACACCTTGATGACCTGCCGAGACTTCAAGGCCAAGACCGTCAACGAGCGTAAAGCATTTGTAGAGACGAACAAGCTCTGCTACAACTGCTTAGGAAACCACCTCGTATCTCGCTGTCAGTCAAAGAAGAATTGCCTTACGTGCGACGCACGACACCACACTACGTTGCACGAAGCGACCACGTCTTCACCGGCAGCCGAGGTCACCACACGCGCCACTACACTGACCACGACTCTTCAAGATCGAGATCATAAGGCTGTTCTTCTTGCTACAGCTCGACTTAACATCGCCGATCGGTATGGCTCACCACACGTCGTACGCGCCTTGATCGACCAATGCTCTGAGGTGTCGATCATTTCTGAGGCCTTGGCGCAACGTCTCCGCCTGCCTCGAGTCTCGACGGATCTCTCGATCTTCGGCATCGGAGGGACCCGCTCAGGATCAGCTCGTGGCAAGGTCACGCTGCACGTCACGTCAGACGTGACCAACGCCGAGCTCCGCGTGGTGGCTTTTGTGCTGCCACGCATTTCATTGCAGCAAGGCTCAGTCTCGCGAGAAGAACGCAGCTGGCCTCATCTCAACGGACTCCAGCTGGCCGATCTTCGCTTCCTGGACGACGACCCAGCTGAGCTACTGCTGGGAGCCGAGGTCTACTCTTTGATCCTCGAGGAAGGTCTCCGCAAGGGTGACTCAAGGATGCCGATCGCCCAGCAGACCAGCCTGGGATGGATCCTGTCCGGCGGCTACGACGCAACAACAATCAACGGACATCGCCGCACATTCCGGTGCACCGCCGATCACGACCTCGCCGACCTCGTTCGGCGCTTTTGGGAGCAGGAGAGCAAGCCAATAACTCGGGCCCCACTTACTCCCGAGGAAGCTACGTGCGAGGAATTATATGTGCGCACCGTCACACGCACGTCCACAGGGAGGTACATGGTGAGGCTGCCAATTTCGTCACCGCCGACGAATCTTCACGAGACTCGCCGACCAGCGGAGCGCCTCCTGAGAGCCATGGAGGTCAAAGGCAGCCGAGATCCTCGATTTGGCGACCTCTATCGTAACTTCATGCAGGAGTTCGAAGACCTACAACACATAAAGAGAGTCAACATTGCAACGACAGCGGATGATCGCAGATGTTACTTACCGCATCACGGGGTCCTGAAGGAGTCGAGCACGACGACAAAACTCCGAGTCGTCTTCAACGGCTCTCAACGCACACGGGCCGGTACTTCGTTGAACTCTCATCTGCTGACAGGGGCGAATCTTCTACCAGCGCTCAACGACGTGTTGCTGCGATGGCGTTGGCACCGGTACGTATTTGTCACCGACGTAGAAAAAATGTACCGCCAAATCCTCGTACATCCTGAGGATTGCCGTCTTCAAACAATCCTGTGGCGTCACAACAAGACGGACGAAATCCAAGAATACGAGCTGCGGACAGTAACCTACGGCATGGCTTGTGCACCGTTCCTGGCCATACGGACGCTGCGACAACTCTGTGCAGACGAGGGGACGCAATTTCCTCTAGGGGCCGCAGCACTTCGGCGAGACTGCTACGTCGACGACGTGGTCACCGGCGCAGACGACCTCGACGATGCCATCAACCTCCAGACAGAGCTACGCCACCTGTGCACGGCGGGCGGATTTCCACTGAGGAAGTGGGCCTCAAACAACTCCAAGGTCCTTGCAGGAGTCCCTCAAGAGCATCGGCTGCAACAAGGACCGCATTCATGGGACGGAGAGAGCCATTCGACCTTGGGCCTGTGATGGCATCCTAAAGATGACTGGTTTGCCTTCGCAATACAACCACGTTCAGTCACAGAGTTCACGAAGCTACGAGTCCTCGCCGAGACTGCACGGCTATTCGACCCGATGAGCTGGCTCGCGCCTGTCGTGATTCGGGCGAAGATCCTGATCCAGACCACATGGCTTCAGCAGCTGGACTGGGACGCTCCACTGTCTGTCAAGGATGTTCACCGTTGGCAACAGCTGCTGAACCAGCTACCTCTGCTCAGCACCTTACGAGTTAACCGCTGGCTCAGCACCGACGACGATCACTCAAGGCTGCAGCTCCACGGCTTCGCTGACGCTTCCGAACGAGGATACGCCGCAGCGGTTTACCTCCGCAACTCTAAAAAAAGGACAACATCAGCGAATTTGCTCATGGCGAAATCCAAGGTTGCACCCGTCAAGCAAATTTCACTGCCTCGCCTGGAGTTGTGCGCTGCCGATTTACTCACCACGCTCATGTTGCATGTCCGCAGCATGCTCGGCTTGACGTCCACTCCAGTGTACTTGTGGTCCGATTCCAAGGTCACCTCCATTGGATCCAGGGACACGCCACCCGCTGGAAAACTTTCGTCGCCAACCGGGTAGCTCATATCCAAACACAGCTCCCGGACGCTCAGTGGAGGCACGTCGCCGGGAAAGACAATCCTGCAGATTGCGCATCGAGAGGAATCACTCCTGAGGAGTTAATCAACCACGCATTATGGTGGACAGGACCTACCTGGTTAGCACTGGACGAAGTGGCGTGGCCCAACTCAGAGGTCGACATCTCAGAGGACGACCTTCCAGAACAACGCACCACCAGCATGATAACCAGGAGCTCCGTCATCATCGAACCGGACCTCCTTCTTCGGTTCTCCGCACTTCATCGGCTGCTGCGCGTTACGGCTTGGTGTCGTCGATGGTTCAACCTGGCGAACCGGGAGGTCACATCTGGCCGCACGCTGCATCCTGGCGAGCTGGACGCCGCTCTACTCCAGTGGCTTCGAGTGGTGCAGGCGCTCCACTTCCCTGACGAGGTAGCTGCTACCACCGCAGGACGGCCCGGTCCACCACGCAGTTCACTGGTCAAGCTGAACCCATTTCTCGACGACCAAGGTGTGCTTCGCGTCGGAGGACGCCTTAAGCACGCTCTGCTGCCCTACGACGAAAAGCACCCGGTGATCGTCCCACCGGCCTCCTGGATGACGAGACTGCTGATCGAGTCCTGCCATCGTCGGTCTCTGCATGGCGGCGTCCAGATGACTCTCAGTTTACTTCGCCTTTGATTCTGGGTGCCACGTGGAAGGACCGTCGTCAAGCAGCAGTTGCATCGGTGCGTCACTTGCACGCGCTGGCGAGCTGCCACTCCACAACCTCCTATGGGCAATCTTCCTCGTGACCGAGTGACGCCGACTCGGCCATTCTTGAGTACTGGCCTGGACTACGCGGGACCCATTTCTATCCGGACCAGCAAGGGGCGCGGACATCGCTCACAGAAGGGATACATCGCAGTCTTCATATGTTTCTGGTCAAAGGCTATCCACCTCGAGGTCGTCTCGGATTACAGCTCCGAGGCCTTCATCGCCGCCTTACTTCGCTTCGTGTCGCGCAGAGGTCTATGCACGGACATCTACAGCAACTGCGGCACAACATTTATTGGCGCCGATCGGACGTTACGTGAGCTCTTCAAGGCGTCGACCTCCGAGGGCCATCACATCGCCCACGCCGCCAGCACAAGGGATCCGCTGGCATTTTAATCCGCCAGCGGGCCCTCACTTCGGTGATCTTTGGGAGGCTGCCGTAAAATCTACAAAATTTCATCTTCGTCGAGTAATCGTCGAAACTACTCTTACGTTTGAGAAGCTCAGTACACTCCTCACACAAATAGAAGCGTGTCTTAATTCTCGTCCGTTACAGGCTCTGTCAGACGATCCAGACGACACTTCGGCGCTCACACCAGGCCACTTCATCATCGGAGCACCGTTACTCGCAGTACCTGAGCCATCGTTGACGGGTCAAACAACCTCCACGCTGTCACGCTGGCGTTACCTGCAGCTGATGCGAGACCATTTTTGGCAGCGGTGGTCGGCGGAGTATGTGCACGGTCTCAACCCCCGCACCAAATGGTTCAAGGCCGAGTCCGTACCTCACGTCGGGGACCTCTGCATCATCCGCTCGGAGCTCACCCCTCCGACCCGATGGCCTCTTGCGCGGATCACGAAACTGCATCCCGGGGACGACGGTATCGTCCACGTGGTCTCAGTCCGCACCGCCACATCAGAACTCGTGCGCCCGATCGTCAAATTGGTCATGCTTCCGGGCGCGGATCATATTCCGGGCATGAATGACGCGGACACGCCGCCTGCCGGCGCGTAAATCATCTCTCATCTCGCGACACTCATTCATCGCATAATCGACTTGAGACTCCGCAGCCGAAATTCGACAACTTGTTGTCACTACGCGACAAGGCGGGCGGGAATGTTCAAAACGCATCAGAAAATATTAGCAGTATAATAAAATAAAATATTCTGTTCGAATAATATTTTATAAGATTCTAGAGTAATCGATATTTACAGCAAATCGTTTTTGTATGTTTTTCGAGGAGAAAACACAGCGACATAAATCAATCTGTCTCGAAAAAACATTCCTCAAAACATCAACAATTAACGGTACCACAACCGTTCCGCCGAATAATTATTTTCAGGGAGCATGCGCGGCTTACCACGGGCGCTTCTTTTAACCAATAATTATCGCGATCGCCCGCGCGCGCATGCTTTCTGCCAGCCGTCTTCCGTTAATTTTGACAGCGGCCAATTACACGTAATGTTCTCAGGTCACCTCGCGCACCGTTCGAAATCCGCAAAATCATTGGCGCTTCACGCGAAGGTGAGCTCCATCCTAAAGATTATAAAAGACGAGCTCACACCCGGCTTAGCAGCCTTATCGCTTTTCCGCCGTGAACCGCATAACGCAAACCGCATGCTTGTAAAACCGCTAAAATTTCGTTGACGACCGCCGCTTATTCCGCACTTTGATTTTGATTACGATTTCAGTGTAAAATAATTAACATTTGTATGAAGTTTTTTATGTTTTTGTTAAGTTAAGTTTTTGAATTGTGTTAGAGAATTAAACTCTTTTTTTTGACAGAAAAGTGGCTCATTTGTGCCGCGCGACCCTTTCTTACGCAGCGCGTTCGCGAACACATATAAATCATTTATTTTGTGACGTGCTTTTTTGGAGCGCCGTCACAAGGGCAAAAAACCCGATCGGGTAGGACGCGGGGATCTGGAGCGCCCCTCATTTCGGGGAGGTGCGATCCGGTTACGTTATTTCGTTTTTATTATCGTATTTTTTGCGAGAATCGCAGTTGCACGCAGCGTCGGCCTGTCGATGCGCGTGCAACACGATTCATAGGGAGAGCGACAAAGACGGCCCGAGAGAGCGGCAGGAGAAATTGTAGCAATTACATAGTAGTATTGTGGCAATTTTCGTTTTCTTGCATTAAATCATATAATCAATTTTTTTAATTTCCGCATACATTATTTTGTTTCTTACTTACTAACATATATCCAAAAAATCCAAAAAAAAATTTCTACGCATAAAGTAGTGCCATACGATACAAAATTAAAGATCGTACTGACAGCTCAAGAACATCCACAGTGATCTTTCAAAACATTAAAGCATCATTTTAGAAAATATTTAAACAATCCTTCTGATGTTACGAAATATAAAAAAGCTGTTTTGTCAGGCGGTACTTTTAGAGACAAATTAAATACAATAAAAACTAATGTGTACGATCGCTTCACAGAAGCAAGAAATAAGAATCAATTAGTTACGCGACGTTTGCTTCAACAGTGGGCTATTGCTGCAGCCGCACAATATAACAAGCCAAAAGAAGAACAAGACAGCGAAGAACATACAAATGTTTTTTATTTCGTAGCATCCAGCAAATGGTTAACCAATTTTTTACACGATTATAGGATATCAAATCGTCGCGTTGTTCGATATGTTTTCAAAAAAGAAGCAATTACACCAAAAGTTGTCATAAAATCAGCGGAACAATTTCAAACATTAATTCAAGCAATTTCGCCAGATTACGATCCCGATTTTGTAATTAATACAGACCAAACAGGATGTGAGCATGGAGTTAATGTTTCGCGAACTTACACGTACACTGGAGAAAAATTAGTTCAATTGTACATAGGCGATTTAAATAAAGTTTCGCATTCATACACCGCCCAGTATTCGCTGACGAAATCCGGGAAGTTATTAAATAAAGTATTTGTTTGTTTGCAAGAATTTTCTGATAATTTTGGAGTACGCGTACAAAAAGATGTAGATAAATTATTAGAATTATGTAAAAATGTTATTACATGTTCTAAATCGGGCAAATTAACAACATCATTATACGCACAGTATTTAGAAAATGTTGTTAAGCCGTATGTCGGGGATAATTTTTTATTTATTGTTGATTCTTGGGGAGAACAAAAAAACATCCAAATGTATAACGAAATATTTCGCGACAAAAATAATAAACCAACATGTAATTTACAAATTATATTGCCAAAATGTACTCCGATATGTCAGCCGTGCGACGTTTATTTTTATCGACAAGTGAAAATTATAATTAAGAAAATACAAAACTGTCCAGATGTAATTTCACAATCAGATGACGAAAGCAAACAATTAAATACTCGTGCTGATGCGATTCGTATACAATCTTTAACTCATTATCTGTTATCAGCGCCGAAATTTAAATGTATGCTTCAATATGCATGGTATGCATCCAAATTAGCTGACGATAGAGAAATATTTTTAAATGTGAATCAATTATGCTTTCCTTCAAACATTTATAATAAAACATGTGTATGTGAAAAACATAATTCATTTATTAAATGTTCGTGGTGCGAAAAAATTTTATGTTTCCAATGTTTTTACATCAACTTTCATCCACAACATTGCGAAGCGATGGAAACCTTTTATCGTATGTAAATAAATATATAATTATAAAAGAAAGTTTATATTGTACAAAATATTCTTGACAAAATAACACATGTACATTGCATGAGAAATATAATCAGTTCATGACTTTAAAACTGTTTTTTATTTCGTATTGCGTTCAAATATCCCGAAATGTCCTTATTTTTACATAGAAAAACAAAATAAATTTAAAAAAATAAATAATGATTAATGTAGTGTCTTTTATATATCCAAAATTGAAAAAAAAAAGCGAAGCAGTCGTCGGCGGGACTCGAACGCACGACGCCGGCGCAAAAATGTATGGACGGGAGCCTTAGTCGGCTCAACTACGCCGCTTACTCGAAAAAGGTTTTAATGTTCTTCTTTACATGGGACATAGTTGCGTGACCCTAACTTTGTTTTGTAATTTCTCCTAAACGAAGGCCCATTGGCACAAACGCCTTTAGGGTTTTTATTAGCTACATGTAAACTATCGAACGCACTATGACTCGTTGGAAAAGCAATTTTCTAATTGGCGTCATCTCCTTGTGAGTCTTCTTATTTTCAAACGGTACATTAGCCATTTTACTTTGGATACAGTTTGCACATTTCATGATATTATTTTCTAATTTATCTGGTAAGCCTTCTACTAATTTACCATTAACCAATTTATTTGAATATTGAAAATTTACATGACCTAACGCTCTATGCCATTTTTCTTTATCTGTCAGTTTCACTGCATTTGCATATATATCATTTTTTTCATTATCGTAAAAAAAAACTTTTCATGATGTACAAACCATTACTCTTATCGGCAACAGCTGTTAATTTTCTATCTTTATTATAAATTTTAGCAATGTGTTCTCTAGCTACAATAGTATTGTTTTCAGTTATTTTAGAAAGACTCAATAAGTTCCTTTTTATACCTTTTACAAAATAAACATTTTTCAAATCAACTTCTACTTCATTATAATAATTTTTGAAATAAGTTTTGACTGTACCTAACTTTGTTGCTTTCATATTTTTTCCATCAGGTAATTTTACATCAATAGGACTTTTTAATTCAACGTACTTACAAAAATACTCCTTGTTGTTGATAATGTGGTCTGTACAACCACTATCTAACAGCCACTCAATTTCGTTATCATTTCTATTCACATTTTTCATTACATTATTTACATTTACTTTAACAACTTGCGTTGCCCATGACTCTTGTGAATTCTTTTTGTAATTCTCGTTGGATGGTCCTGCCGCTTGATGACCTTGTCCTCTGCCTCGACCATAGCCTCTTTGCGTCGTACTCTCACCTTTGCTCAAGTTTTTTTCTTCAATTTTTGTTTTGACATACTCGACGGTTCTTTGCTCTTCAGGTACTAGATCAATAAAATCTCCAATGTAGCAGTAATTTGGTGGTAGAGCTTTAATTAAATATCTCATTTTTTCTTCTTCTCTTAGTTGTCCACCAGCTGATTTCAGCTCGTTACATGCCTTTTCAAATTCAACAAAAAATTCTTCCACATTACTGTAATTCTTCAACTTGACTTCTTCTAATTTTCCTCGGTTTATTATTTGCAGAGATGTCGATTTTGTTGAATACATCTTTTCTAGCTTTGACATCATCTCAAACGTCGTTTTACATTCGCTAATGTATTCCAATTGCTTATCTGACATAGCACTGATTAAAATGGTTTTTGCTTTGAGATCACTTTTCTTCCAAGCATCTTCGTTATCAGTAGCAGCTCTTTCTCTTCTTGCCGGTTCTTGACAATCTTTATATTCTAAAATGGTCGTGAGTCGGAATTTCCAACTTGCGAAATTTATTCCATCAAACACTGGAATACTTATGTCGTCGATTTTTGCTTGCCTAGCCATTTCTTCTGCTTCTTTAGTTTTCAAATTCTTGTCGATTTCAATTTTCAAAATCACAGTTTTTTTCAATATTTTCAGGAAACTTTTTCTCAAAAAATTTCTGTCTTCTTTGTTTAGCTTGAAGTCTTGAATTTTTAGTTGTTGCTCAAGTTCTTCAGTTTGTGTTTTATCTCCCGAAATTAAATTTTTTATCTTTGATTTTTGATCCGCGAACATGTGCTTAGCCACTAAATCTCCATGTGCTCACTCAATCCTCACGTCAATCACGTGATTTTCACCAATTACGGATGTTTTTCAGCAACCACGCTCTGCTACTATGTTTTAATTACTGCTTATCTTTATTATTTATTTTATTTATTGTTTGAGATGTTAAGTAAAATTTTTGTAAATTCTAGAATTTTCCATCCGCGTCAATAATAAAAGTCACGGTCTTTTTTGTATGTTTGTCACGGAAAAAAGTTGTCATAAATTAAACCTGTCATCTCATAAACATTCTTTGCACACAAACAATTAACGGTATCACAACCGTTCCGCCGAATAATTATTTTCAGTGAGCATGCGCGGCTTACCACGGGCGCCTCTTTTCACCAATAATTATCGCGATCGCCCGCGCGCGCATGCTTTCTGCCAGCCGTCTTCCGTTAATTTTGACAGCGGCCAATAATGAGCTGTGCCCTCGAGTCACCTCGAGCACACTTAAAATTGCTCGCAATAATTGGCGCTTCCCGAAAAAGTGGGTTTTCTTCGGAAACCCATAAAAGAGAGCTCGCACCCGAAATCCGGGCCTTATCGCTTTCCGTAGTGACCGCATAACGCAACCGCATATTATTCTGATCCGCTAAAATCTCGTTGACGACCGCCGCTTATTCCGCACTTTGTTCTCGATTAGATTTTCACTGAAATATTTAAATGTTATAAGTCTTGTTCAAGTAATTTGTAATTAAGTGTGTATTGAAATTAAACTTTTTTAATACAAAAGAAAGGGTGACTTATCCTATTGTGTCGCGCGATCCTCTCTCACGCAGCGCGTTTGCGAACATATTTCTGGTCCTTCGAGCCGGATCCATCGTGCCGGCATCCGCAAGTTTGTGAACGTGTCTCTTGGTGCGGTCAGTGAGCTCGTAGTTCGACATGGATGTGAACACCTTGATCGATTGCCAACGTGAGGTCCAAGTCCGTATTTCACGCTCCGTGGAATACTTGAAGAAGCTGGGCACGACCAACATCATCGCCAGTGCCGTATCTACGCGCATCAGGATCCTAGATCAGCTGTGGACGAAATTTGAGGCCCAGCATGATCTCATTCGCGCGGCTCTGAAAGAGAAGTTTAGTGACAGCGAATACTTCAAGTCGGAGTTGCATGGAGATACTGAAAATCTTTACGTGGCACAACGCAGTATCCTGGATGGCTACGCTGAACATTTCCGGAAGCCAAACGTATCTCCATCCGTCGACGTCGCATCAAAGTCGTCGCTGCCGCGCATCAAGTTGCCGCCGTTTTCTGGCGCCTACGCTGATTGGCCGTCATTTCGTGATCTCTTCCTGTCCGTTGTGAGCAGCAATTCCATCTCAAACATCGAGCGTCTTCACCACCTCCGCTCGTGTTTGACAGGTCAGGCTGAAAAATTGATAAGATCACTACCTGTCACAAGTGACAATTACGATCGCGCTTGGGCAATCTTGAACAAGCATTACGACAACAAAAGAGAATTAATCCGCTCCAACTTTGCCACGTTTACCGCCGTGCCAAAGATGAAGGGAGATACCGCCGAGGAGCTGAGCCGCATCCACAACGCTGTCACCGCCGCCATCAATGCACAGGAGAGTATTGGACGTCCTATCAACTCGCACGGGATGGACCTGTTCAATCACCTGGTCATCGAATTGTTCGACGCACGCACTCGTCTCGAATGGGAGTCAGCCACGTCAGACTCCACCGAACCACCACAGAACGAGGCACTTCTCGACTTTATTAGTCGACGGGTATTGACCCTCAACGCCGCACGACCGAGGAGTGTCACAAAGGGAACTGGAGAGGCATCGCGATTCGCCAAAGCGCACGTCACCAGACATCAAGGCACAGATTCGCCTCAGTGTGCACTGTGTCGTGAAAAACATACACTGATGACCTGCAAGGAGTTCAAGGCCAAGACCGCGGTCGAACGGAAAACATTCGTGGAGACCAACCGACTGTGCTTCAACTGCCTGGGCAATCACTTCTTGTCACGGTGTCAATCGAAGAAGAATTGCCTCACTTGCAACGCACGACACCACACCATGCTGCACGGGGCATCCACGTCACCACCGTCCGCTGAGGCCACTTCACTTGCCACCACACTGGCCACCTCACGGCAGTGTGAGAGTCACAAGGCCGTCCTTCTTGCAACTGCCCGCGTCAAGGTCGCGGACCGCTACGGACCACACGAGGTTCGAGTCTTGATCGACCAGTGCTCCGAGGTGTCCATCATCTCTGAAGCGCTGGCTCAACGTCTTCGTCTTCCTCGAGCTTCGACGAATCTGTCCATCTTTGGCATCGGAGGGACTCGCTCTGGATCGGCTCGTGGCAAAGTCACCCTGGACATCACATCCGACGTGACCAACGCCGAGCTTCGCGTGGTCGCCTTTGTGTTGCCTCGCATCTCACTACAACAAGGCACCGCTCAACGCGAGAATTGCAGCTGGCCTCACATCCAGGGACTCCGGTTGGCCGACCCGCGGTACCTGGATGACGACCCTGCGGAGCTACTTCTTGGTGCAGAGGTCTACTCGTTGATCCTTGAGGAAGGCCTTCGCAAGGGCGACTCACGCATGCCGATCGCCCAGCAGACCAGCTTGGGATGGATCCTGTCCGGAGGCTACGACTCAGCAGTCACCGACGGACATCGCCGCACGTTTCAGTGCACCGCCGACAACGACCTCGCTGACCTGGTGCAACGATTCTGGGAGCAGGAACGCGAGCCAGCAGCTGGGATCGTGCTCACCGCCGACGAAGCCAGATGCGAGGACATCTATGTGCGCACAGTCACACGCACGTCCAGTGGAAGATACGTGGTGAGGCTGCCATTTGCCTCACCGCCGACATCACTCAGCGAAACTCGTCGACCTGCAGAGCGCCTCCTGGAAGCAATGGAGCGGAAGGGAGCCCGTGATGCTCGGTTCGGTGATCTCTATCGAGACTTCATGGACGAATACGAAGACCTGCAACACATGGAGAAAGTTAGTACGTCTACTACAGGTTCTGGCCCCAGGTGCTACTTACCGCATCACGGGGTCCTCAAGGAGTCGAGCACGACCACGAAGCTCAGGGTTGTGTTCAACGGCTCCCAACGCACACGGTCCGGAGAGTCGCTGAACTCGCACCTCCTCACTGGAGCTAATCTCTTGCCAGCACTCGCTGACGTCTTACTCCGTTGGCGTTGGCATCGGTACGTTTTCGTCACGGACATCGAGAAAATGTACCGACAAATTCTTGTGCATCCGGAGGATTGTCGCCTGCAAACCATCCTGTGGCGCCACAACAACTCAGACAACATCCGCGAGTACGAGTTGAAGACCGTGACCTACGGACTGGCGTGCGCACCCTTCCTCGCCATCAGGACGCTTCACCAACTTGCTGCAGACGAAGAGGCACGATATCCACGCGGAGTCAGGGCGCTGCGACAAGACTGTTACGTCGACGACGTGGTCACCGGTGCTGACAGCCTGGCGGATGCCATCAAACTCCAACAGGAACTACAGAGTCTCTGCATGGCGGGCGGATTTCCTTTGCGAAAGTGGGCTGCCAACAATCAGCAGGTGCTCACCGGAATTCCGCCGGAACATCGGCTTCAACGCGGACCGCGCTCGTGGGAAGGAGAGAGCCACGCTACCCTGGGTCTTCGATGGCATCCTCAAGGGGATTGGTTCTCCTTCACCATACGTCCGCGTTCAACCACCGACCTCACGAAGAGACGAGTCTTGGCTGAGACAGCTCGACTATTCGATCCGATGGACTGGCTAGCGCCTGTCGTCATCCGAGCCAAAATTCTGATCCAGTCTACGTGGCTTCAACGGCTGGATTGGGACTCTCCGCTGCCTGATCAGGACGCACACCGCTGGAGACAACTGTTGAATCAACTTCCGTTGCTGGATCACATCCGTGTGGATCGTTGGCTCAGCACCGGAGATGACCAGTCGCAATTGCAGCTCCATGGGTTTGCCGATGCATCGGAGCGAGGATACGCCGCCGTCGTGTACATCCGCAACGCTGCAACAGAGAAGACATCAATTAATCTGCTGATGGCAAAATCGAAGGTCGCACCAGTCAAGCAGGTGTCGTTACCTCGATTGGAACTTTGTGCCACTGCATTACTCACCACGCTCATGCTGCATGTACGCACTACCCTCGGCTTGGCTGCTACGCCGGTGCACCTGTGGTCTGATTCTAAGGTCACCCTTCACTGGATTCGCGGACACTGCACCCGCTGGAAGACTTTTGTTGCCAACCGAGTGTCGCAGATCCAGACCCTGCTTCCAGACGCTCATTGGAGACACGTCGCTGGACGAGAAAACCCTGCAGATTGTGCATCGCGTGGTGTTACACCTGAGGACTTACGCAATCATAAACTGTGGTGGACAGGACCTACCTGGCTGTCAGGAGACGAGGCTGCCTGGCCTGGTGCAAACATCGACGTCCCAGAGGATGACCTCCCTGAGCAACGAGTCACCAGCCTGGTAGTCAAGGCGCCAGTCACTACCGAACCGGACCTTCTTCTGCGGTTCCCGACGCTGCAACGGCTGCTGCGAGTCACTGCGTGGTGTCGTCGATGGCTCAACCCGGTGAGACGTGACGCCAGACCTGGCCGTCCATTGCAGCCTGACGAGCTGGACTCCGCGCTGTTTCGATGGCTGCGAGTGGTGCAGGCGCTCCACTTTCCGACGGACGTAGCCGCGGCCTCTGCTGGACGCACTACTCCACCGCAAAGCCACCTGGTGAAGTTGAGTCCGTTCCTCGACGATCAAGGCGTACTGCGCGTCGGAGGACGTCTCAAAAACTCTCAACTTCCGCTCGACGAGAAACATCCGATGATCATCCCGGCGGCATCCTGGCTGACTCGGCTGGTGATCGATTCCTGCCATCGACGGACACTGCACGGGGGTGTGCAGCCGACACTCGGCCTGCTCCGCCTGCGCTTCTGGGTACCTCGAGGAAGAACCGCCGTCAAGCAGCAGCTACATCGATGCGTTACCTGCACTCGATGGCGTGCTGCCACGCCACAGCCTCAGATGGGTAACCTTCCTCGGGACCGAGTAACGCCAACCCGACCGTTCCTCAGCACCGGCGTGGATTACGCAGGACCCATCCTCCTTCGGACCAGCAAGGGACGTGGACACCGCGCGCACAAAGGGTACATCGCAGTCTTTGTCTGTTTCTGGTCGAAGGCCACTCACTTGGAAGTCGTCTCCGACTACACCTCCGAGGCTTTCATCGCCGCTCTGCGCCGCTTCGTCTCCCGCAGGGGCCTCTGTGCTGAGATCTACAGCGACTGCGGCACGACATTCATCGGGGCAGATCGTACGCTGCGAGGTCTCTTCGATGCAGCGACAGCCGAAGGTCATCGTATCGTCCTCGCCGCCACCGCTCAAGGAATCCGCTGGCACTTCAACCCGCCAGCGGCCCCGCACTTTGGTGGTCTTTGGAAGGCTGCAGTGAAGTCGACCAAGTTCCACCTCCGTCGGGTGATCGGCGAGACGACCCTCACGTTCGAGAAGCTGAGCACACTCCTCGCCCAGATCGAAGCTTGTCTTAATTCTCGTCCATTGCAGGCACTCTCAGATGACCCAGAGGACGTCTCGGCGTTGACTCCCGGTCACTTCCTCGTCGGGGCGCCGCTACTCGCTGTGCCGGAACCGTCATTGACAGGGCAGACGGTATCCACCTTGTCACGCTGGCGTCATTTGCAGCAGATGAGAGATCACTTCTGGCAGCGATGGTCGTCCGAATATTTGCACGGACTAGCCTCGCGCACCAAATGGCTCAAGGACGAAGCTGCACCCCACGTCGGCGATCTCTGTCTCGTGCGCTCCGAGCTCACCCCACCGAGCCGATGGCCACTGGCTCGCATATCGCGACTGCACCCCGGGGACGATGGGATTGTACGCGTGGTGTCAATCCGAACGGCCACGTCCGAGCTTGTGCGCCCACTCGTCAAGCTTGTTTTCCTTCCGGGCGTGAACGACGCACCTACACCGCACGCTGACACTTCGTAACGTCACTCATTACACAATCATCACATCATGCATCATAGCATCTGTCGCACGTCACTCATCTCATCCACCACCGCACAAAAAAAAATTATTTCGTTATCACCGCTCACTGCATTACACACTCGCCGTTCACATCAACCACGCGTTTTCACCGGATCAGCTGATTATTTCACTCCACGCGTTCACCACGTGCCCTCATCGGCTCAGCTGATCGATTCACACCACGCGATCACCACGTGTATTTCGCCGCGCCGGCGCGCCCGCCCCACCATCGATCGCTATCGGAATGTGATCCGCGCCGGAACCACCACCAACCTTTGTCACGTTGCGATAAGGCGGGCGGGAATGTTTGAGATGTTAAGTAAAATTTTTGTAAATTCTAGAATTTTCCATCCGCGTCCTTTCCAATTTCATAAAACTTGTAACAAACGTAATAAAAAACAACAAAATCGGAATGATCCTGACAGATCAATATCCGGGAATCAATTCCCAAGAATTTAAGAAATTCCTAGAAGAAAAAAAAATACCGATTATTTTTACGGCGGTAAAGACACCATTTTCGAATGGTATAAACGAGAGACTAAACCAAACACTAATCAACAAAATAAGATGCAAAATAAATAAAAGACGAACAAAATCAGCTTGGACAACAATAGCACAGGAATGCACAAAAAAATACAATCAGACGATCCATACAATAACTGGATTTGCACCCGCATATTTACTAGAAGGAAAGAACATTACAATTTTACCAGAAAAAATAAACCAAGAAAATACACCAAAGAACTTGCTAAAAGATCGAGAATTAGCCTACAAGAATAGTATAAAATCACATGAATACAATAAAAAACTATTCGACAAAAACAAAAACAAGGTGGAACTAAAAGAAGGAGACTCAGTATTCGTAGAAAACGGGAACAAACTAAACAGAAGAAAATTAGAAGAATTAAGAATAGGACCATATAAAATTCTGGAAAAAGTATCCAAATCAATTTACAAAATAAACACCGGACACAGGAAAACAAATTCAACATTATTCCACATAATAAAACTGACCCCAGCACCACCGGCAACAATACAGATAGAAGACACACAAAACATAGAAGAGAACGTGGCTGTTCTGTTTCCAGACAACTCTAGGGGATGACTTTTCCCTAGGAGGGAAAATGTAAAGAAAGTGTATTTCTTCAATTAGAATCTGCCGCTCAACGTGGCCATAATCAGTAAATATCAGATGATAAGCGAAAACCGATTTTACCGTCGCGTGAGAGAGGTAGAGTAGAATATAGAGAATTAAGGAAATAAGGGATAAGCACGTGTATGTGAAAGTGATAAGAGGAGAATTACACCAAGGAATAAACTTTAATGTCGTTTCGTTATTACAGAAACTCAGTACTGCTTATTTGATAGTGTGGGACCCCTTAACCTCAATCCATAAAGAAATACCATTATATATATATATATATATATATATATATATATATGGTATTTCTTTATGGATTGAGGTTAAGGGGTCCCACACTATCAAATAAGCAGTACTGAGTTTCTGTAATAACGTGTAATAAACTGTATATATATATATATATATACAGGGTGTATCATAAGTCACACCGCATTTCTGGGGAATGAATTTGTCAAGTCAAAATAAGTCAAAAATAAAGAATGACAAAATTACGTTTGAGCCTTCTTTAAAGAGTTGCTTTAATAGACAGACCAATGCTACAGCGAGTGATAAATTATCTTTTAAATTGTGCTAATTTGTTCATTTAAGTTAATGGCGGATTATTTGAACACCTTATGTAATTTCAACCTTGTTGTCTATTTATTAGTTAATTTATGTTATGTTTTCAACTTACAATTAAATAAAAATAAATTTTACTCCAAATAAATTTTTCGTTTATTTGATGTCACTCTTTAAAGAAAGCTCAAACGTAATTTTGTCATTATTTATTTTCGACTTATTTTGACTTGACGAATTCATTCCCCAGAGATGCGGTGTTACTTATAATACACCCTGTATATATGTATGTATATATACACACATATATATGTACATGTATATACAGGGTGTCTCGCAACGTGATGTCCATACTAAAACTTTGTATTTTTAGTGTCATTCTAAGTCGAAAAATCTTAATATACATATGCTCTAAGTCAATTGTTTTAATATTACAGCGAAAAAACAAAATTGCATTAAATAAGAACAATATTAAGAGTTTAACAAGGCTTTGTAATATAAATATAAATTTAAAGATCTAAGACAGGCAATAAGAGCCAACTCGCGGATGACAGTGCGTTATCCTAACGAAACTAAATTTTTCATCCGCGAGTTGGCTCTTATTGCCTGTCTTATATCTTTAAATAAAACAATATTATTTATTAAAGATAAGAATATTATTTATTGAACAATAATATTAAATAATATAAAATTTTTATGAATTAAAATACAATAAAATTTAAATATATTGTTATAGTCCGAATGACTATAACTATATTATATTAAATATAGTTTTAATAATAAATTAGTAAGTCGGCTATTATACAATTATTTGAGAAACGTTCTCACGCTCTCGCGAAGCGCTTATCGCGAAAAGACGCAAACGCGATGAAATATAAGCGTTACACCGAAAACCGCGGATCGCAAGCGAAGAATCAACCTGCTTCGCTTGCACCTAGATAAAAGCGTGTGAATAAAAATTAGCCAATGAAAGAGCTTCTCTACACCTTCCCCCGAAAGATGTAGAAAAGGGCAGGAGACCACCGCGAACGAAGAGCGAGGCGATGAAGTGAGTCGCTAACGAAAATCCAAAAAGTCAAGTCGCTAATTAGAACCTAACTAGGAGTCGAAGACAAGCCGCAGAATATAAACTATCACCTGTAATCTGACTATCGAGAGCGAGTATACTTAACTAACCACCCAGGTGGGATTATACAGAATTAAACCAACTCAAGAAATAAGGGAAATAAAAGATTTATTCAGATAAGCAAGCGAAGTTAGTCAAAGTGGAGACGCCCGCCGATCTTAGGATCCTCATCCTTTAGTCGACTGAGACCCCAAAATTTTCCGTGCCTTCCCGGAGGCACAACAATATACAATATATATAAAGTTCATATTTATAATAAATGCAAATTAAACTTTTCTTTAATTTACGATAATGCTTCTCTTGTATTAAAATATAGATTTTATAGTAAAAGCTATTTTAAGTTTTGCTTTAAAAAGGTGCAACACAAATTGCAAAAAAAATGTTGATTTTATATTATTAGCATAACAGTAGGTGCATAATCTTTTATTATCATTTTCCAGAACTTTGATATCAGGAGACGCGGTAGTGTCTCCGGCCATGTTCAAACCCTAAAAGACCTTAAAAGACACTACAAGTCTCCTTATCCTGCACCATCAAAGTCCATTTTTTGGGGGTGTAGAACTACTAAAATATAAAAAATTTTGAATTGCACGTAATATAACCTGAAAGGCGGCATCGCCACGAGTAATTTGAGCCAAGAAAAAATAAAATCGGTCAAGCCGTTCTGGAGATACAAGCGGTCAAAAAGTGACGTTTTTCATGAAAAATGAAGTAACGTCGTCTTCTTCTTCTTCTTCTTCTTCTTCTCTGTCCGCGTATAAATCTCTTCTCACCTTTTACTCACACCTCCCTCAACTTCCACCCACCCCTTTCCCTCCCACATCCCGCTCCCACCCGCCCTTACCCCCACCCCACCCCACTTTCACCCCCACTCCCACCCCTCTTTCGCCTCTTTCACCCTCTTTCGTCCTCTCTCACCCTCTTTCGTCCTCTCTCACCCTCTTTCACCCTCTTTCGCCCTCTCTCACCCTCTTTCGTCCTCTTTCACTCTCTTTCATTCTCTCTCACCCTCTTTCATTCCCTCTCACCACCTTTCGTCCTCTTTCACCCTCTTTCGTCCTCTCTCACCCTCTTTCATCCTCTCCTCACCCTCTTTCATTCTCTCTCACCCTCTTTCACCCTCTTTCATTCCCCCTCTTTCATTCCCTCTCACCCTCTTTCGTCCTCTCACCCTCTTTCGTCCTCTTTCACCCTCTTTCGTCCTCTCCTCACCCTCTTTCATTCTCTCTCACCCTGTTTCGTCTTCTTTCACCCTCTTTCATTCCCTCTCACCCTCTTTCGTCCTCTTTCACCCTCTTTCGTCCTCTTTCACTCTCTTTCGTCCTTTCTCACCCTCTTTCATTCTTTCTCACCCTCTTTTACCCTTTTCGTCCTCTTTCACCTTCTTTCACTCTCTTTCGTCCTCTCTCACCCTCTTTCATTCTTTCTCACCCTCTTTCGCCCTCTCTCATCCTCTTTCGACATCTTTCACACTCTTTCGTCCTCTCTCACCCTCTTTCGTCCTCTTTCACCCTCTTTCGTTCTCTCTCACCCTCTTTCGACCTCTTTCGTCCTCTTTCACCCTCTTTCGTCCTCTCACCCTCTCTCACCTCTTTCACCCTCGTACGTCCTTTCTCACCCTCTTTCGTTCTCTTTCACCCTCTTTCGCCTATCTCGTCTTCTCTTACCCTCATTCGTCCTCTCTCACCCTATCTCCAAAAAATCATAAAAATGAAAAGGTCAAGCCATGTTCAAAAGAAGGTCCTCAAAAATTTAAACCTAGTCTGTACAATGAAAAATAATTACTCGTAATTCCAGAGTTCCAATTTGTTAATATCGAATAATGTATTTGTTTCAAGTAATGGCAGTAGAGTCAAATACATACCTACGTATATGCAGTTTTTGCTGTTAATTGTACTTGAACGAAAAAAATAATTAAATGATTTAAATATAGCACATTTTAAATCAAAAACTTATATAATCGAACTCTGTTTAGGAAAAGGTAGAACATTTCATTTGCCTCTGCCTTTACAAGAAACATTGGATAAGGTATGTCCTCCGGAAGATCCTATAAATTTGAATCACGAGTTGCACATTCTCGTTCGAGGTATACCCAAGAAATCTAAAGTGGTTTGGGAAAATTTGGTAGATATTAATAAA